GGCCCCGAACGACTCACACCAGGACGAGGGGCCCGAACAACTCACACCACGAGAAGCCCGAACGACTCACACCAGGACGAAGAGCCCGAACGACTCACACCACGAAGAGCCCGAACGACTCACACCAGGAAGAAGGGCCCGAACGACTCACACCAGGACGAAAAACCCCAAACGACTGAAATCACGAGGAGCGCTTTCTCTCCCTCCTCCTCCGCCTCGTCCTTCTCCCGCTCCCCCCACAAGGAGGGTTCACAAGGAGGCGGGAGGAAGGAGGGACAGGGGAGATATACGGAGCCCAGCGGACACACGCCTGAAAAACACAACTGTCGACATGCTTCGCGAGAAGTGCTGCTGTGAGATGGGCTGGTGGGGATACGCGAAGCGTAAAGAATTTTCCAGAATTGCTGGGGCCCCAGTCCGTCAACAAGGTCGCCGGAAAGATAATTTGTTGCAGCTGTGGGGGGTTTGATTCTAAAGGCCAATCGACGTTACGCTGCGGTGAAGGGGGTCCGCTCTCCCACCTTGCGACAGCGGTTCGAGCAAGCGGAGCCACAGAGAGTCCATCTTGATCGTTCGAACGGCTGCAAGATCACGGACCGTGACATTCACAGCCAGGACTACGCCGCCCTCGACTCCGAGGCCATCGTCGACGTGGGCGCCCATGCCCAGTTCACCACTGGCCCGGGGCTGACCAGGGGAGCTAGCGTTTTCTGGCGCAGAGTCCTGCTCCTCGGGTGCGTGATCTGTTGTGGAGAGAGATGTTGCCGCCGGCGCCGCCGCCGTCGCACTGCGACTGGCGATGCGGGGCCTGGCGTTGCAACTGGACTGGCCGAGATACTGAATCGGGAGTCCGAACCCGAGATCAAACTGGACGATCGTCCTGGCGAGGCTGCCAAGGTCGGCGTCGCCTTCAAGAGTGGCATACGTTTGCTGGACGTCAACGGCTGCAACGTTGCCGCCAGGTCTGGGCCGACTGCGATCAATGTTCGAGGACGGCTGGGCTCCCGATCTCCGCCGTACGCCGAGGGGCGAAATGCCACGGCCTGCCTTTGCGCTCATCACGACCAGGTTTTCCGAGCGACGCAGCTCAAGAACAAGTGCTCCCAGCTGACCTGCCGACGGGAGGCCGTTGGGACTGCCGCAGGAGGAACTGCCTCTTTGCCTCTTCCAGCTGGGAGGAGAAGCAGATCGCGCGACAGCGGCCTCGACCCCTCCTACGCCACCAGCTGGATTGTCTGCAGGGCCCCGACGCCGGAACCCCGGCAGCCGCAGCCCAGGGCGCCCCGTCGCCGCTGGCGCAGCTGGCGTCGCCCAGTGGTGGGCCAAGGACCCCCCCATCGGCGAGGGTCGCCTGCCCCGCCCACACGACTTAGCGCAGTGCGCTCCGAGGCCCCACCAGTGCCGCTGCCCAGCCAGAGCCCCGAGACGGAGTTCGGGGTCATGGCGGGTGAGGAACACGTCGTGGTGAAAGCCCGCATCCGCTGGCCTGAGGGCCCCACTGGGTCATCTTCCTCGGGTAGATCAAGGAGGCGATCGAGCCGGACGTCGACTTCGAAGTCCACGTCTGCAGCCCGCGCGACGAGGACGTCTGCTTCAGCATCAACTCCGATGGGCTCTTGCCGTCTCCGAAGCTTAGCAGCACGGGGCGCCTGCCGAGAAGCCCGCCCCTCGGCAGCCAGGAGTTCGACATCCTGGTGACAGCTACCGCGGGGAGTGCTAGTCGGGGGGGAGGCTCGCCCCATCACGCAGCGCCAGTGGGAGCAGCTCCAAGCCCCGGACAGTCAACTAGTCCAACGGCATCCCGAGGGGACGGTGGCTGACTTGCGCCCTGCGCCCTACTCGGATCTGGAGGCCACCAAGCAGAACCTGGAACACCACTGGAAGCGCTTGGCCAGCAGCAGCTCTCCCAAGCCACCCCAATGGCGCCCCGACAGCGGAGGGCCCCGCACCGCGTCCGCCGAGCGCGCCCCGCGCCGCTCGAGCCGATCGCAGAGTCCAGCCAAGGCATCTTCAGACTCTGGGCCACCCAGCGACGGGGACGCCGGAGAGGCCATGCTGGGGATCTGCCTGGAGGCCTGCGGAAGCGGCACCGACGACGCGGACGCCATCCAGAGTGTGGCCGCAGGGTTCGATGAGGAGACGCACGTCGTGTTGGGACATCGCCGTCGCTATGCCCGACCGTTGCAGGACCGCGACGCTTGCCTCGGGCACGTGAAGCGCTGGGAGCAGCAACTCATGGAGGGAACCGCCGACAACTCCGTTCAAAATCAATCCCCGCCTTTTTCCCGGAGTCGAAAGCGCCGCGTCCGGCCTTGGGCGGCAAGGCGGGTCATCTTCTCCCCCCTTTACGCGCTGCCGGAACCAAGTGCTGGGCCACCTCGGCCCCCCCATGGCGGCTCAAAAACGCCACCCGCTCTCCCCTGCGCCTCCCCCCCCCCCGACGGCGGCGGCGGCGGCGGCGGAAGCGGCGGCGACGACAAACCTCGCTGGGCCGCCCCGCCTTCGCGGTGGGCCCGCCGCCCTTCCCGGCGCTGCCCTCGCGGGCCGCGTGGTACGTGGCGTAGGTGCGGTACTGGAAGTGTCCGCCGGCGCCCACGGCTGTCCGCGGGCTGCCCCGAGGTCTCTCCCGCGTGCTCGGGGCGATGGGGCCCACGCCTGGTCTGATCTGGGGCGGCCGCGCCAGAAGGCGGCCTGATCTGATCCCAGACACGATCGCGTCGTACAAACATCAGGACGGGCGTTTTTTCTCTAATTTCGGCACCTGGGGGCCCTCGCCGGGCCTCGGGACCATCAACAAACGACTCGGGACGAAAAGCCGGTCCTGGGACAAGGGTCGGGACTTCTGGGGCTTCCGTCCTGAAAACATCAGGACGTCGCATGTCTGGGACCTTCTTGCTGGAAGCCGCTGCCAGCAAACCTCCGAGGCGAGCCCGAGATTTACAGACAGGAGGAGAAGAGAGACCCGTCAATTGAGCAGGGACCGACCGTCCTGGCATTTCTGTGGGCCCACCACGACATGTTCTTAGAACCCAAAAACGTTTTAATAACAAAAGCAAACTTCTTAGCGCACAAGCCCGATGTGTTGAAACAAAACAATATCAACCAGAAATGTTCTAAGAACACTTCGCCGAAACCATAAAAAGCTCTTAGAACTCTCTCTGGTAGCCCTATTTGCGAGCCAGGACGCTTCGCCACTGCTTGATTTACCGACAGGAGGAAACGAGAGACCCGTCAAAGGCGGAAGGGAGGAGGAGGAGGAGGAGGAGGAGGAGGAGGAGGAGGAGGAGGAGGAGGAGGAGGAGGAGGAGGAGGAGACTCGGATTCTGGCCGCGGATCCCGCTCCTTGACGAGGGGGGAGGGAGGAGGGAGAGGAAGATCGGGAGGACCGGCTCCCCGCGGGGCTCCATGGCGAGGGTGCCCCCCCCCCCCGCGCAGGACGCTTGACGAGGGAGAAGGGAGGAGGGAAAGGAAGATCGGGGGGATGGGCTCTCCGCGGGGCCCCAAAGATCCGACGTCGAGATTTTTTTTCGATACGCGGCCGCAGGAAATCGTGACCCATTATCCCCAGGACCGGCTTCTTACCGTGAGTATCGTTTCTTGCAGCCCGGAGGCCCGGCGAGGGCCCACAGGGGTCGACCTTTTGAGAAAAACCTCCGTCTTGAGCTTTTCAATGCGCTGGTCGGCGATGCTGGCGCCCGCGAGCGCGAACGCAGCGAAATCGCCCGCGACCGCGGAGACCGCGAAGCTGCCGCGCACATTCCTGCGGGCAGTGGTGGCGTCGCCCACGGGTCGGAAGACGACGGGCCTATCTCCCGCGCGCGCGACGACTGCGACGTCTGCCCCTCCCCCCGCGCAGGGCGAGCGGCCCTCACCGCAAGGCCCCGCGGATGGCTGCGGGCCGGCGCCGCCCCTCTGCTGGTCGAGGTCGTACTGGGTCCGCTCGCCCCCCCGCGGGGGGGCGTAGGGATGGGCGAGGGGCAAGCGGGCAGAAGGAGGAGGGGGAGGAACATCGGCAGGGAGGAGGTGGAGGGGGAGGGGGAGGAGGCAAGCTAGGTGCGCTCGCGTCATATCTGACGTCCTACCCCTCCCTCCCATCCCTCACCATGGCGCTGATTTTCTCTATCCGCGGACGCGTGTCGTAGCGGACCTGTGGCTCCGCGCGCGCGTGCGTAGTGGGTGGTGGTGCGCGTGCGTGCGTGCGTGCGTGTGTGCGTGGTTGTGGGTGGTGGTGGTGGTGGTGGTTGGTGGTGGTGGTGGTGGTGGGTGGTGGTGGTGGTGGGTGGTGGTGGTGGTGGTGGTGCGGCGCGGTGGTGGCGGGCGGATGGGCGCGCGAGAAAGAGGCCCGCGCTGGGGCGAGAACGCCATCCTGAACGACGGCGGCCAAACACCGATCCGAAAATGAGGCCCACGCTGCAGCGGGAGCACGATTCGGAACGATTCGGAAGCAGAAATGAAGCCGGCGCCTCAGCGAGAGCAGCATTTTGAAAAAAACGTAAGCGAAAACCCAACTCCCGGGAATCCTGTGTGTAAACATGATGGACCCACGAACCCGGAAAGGGATATAGACATGTGGAGCATGGACACTTTTTCACGATACCCAACTGGGCAACACCTCACGAAACATCCCACGAGACACTTCACGAAACATCCCACGAGACACCTCACGAAACATTCCACGAGACACCTCACGAAACATTCCACGAGACACCCCGCGAAACATTCCACGAGACACCCCACGAAACATTCCACGACGACAGGCAACCACTCAACCAAGGCGGTGTGGTCGTGCTGGGGAGTGGTCGTTCTGGGGTGTGGTCGTGCTGGGGGGTGGTCGTGCTGGGGGGTGGTCGTGCTGGGGGGGTGGTCGTGCTGGGGGGTGGTCGTGCTGGGGCGTGGTCGTGCTGGGGCGTGGTCGTGCTGGGGCGTGGTCGTGCTGGGGTGTGGTCGTGCTGTGGTGAGGTCGTGCTGGGGTGTGGTCGTGCTGGGGTGTGGTCTTGCTGGGGTGGGGCCGTGCTGGGGTGGGGTCGTGCTGGGGTGGGGTCCTGCTGGGGTGTGGTCGTGCTGGGGTGTGGTCGTGCTGGGGTGTGGTCGTGCTGGGGTGTGGTCGTGCTGGGTTGTGGTCGTGCTGGGGTGTGGTCGTGCTGGGGTGTGGTCGTGGCGGCGTGGGGGTTCCGTGCTGGGTGCTCGTGCTGGGTTTGGTGGTCGTGCTGGGTGTGGTCGTGCTGGGGTGTGGGTCGTGCTGGGCGTGGCGTGCTGGGTGTGGTCGTGCTGGGGTGGGGTCGTGCTGGGGTGTGGTCGTGCTGGGGTGGTCCGCACCCTGTGATTTATCGATCGGGTCGTGCTGGGGTGTGGTCGTGCTGGTGCTGGGGTGTGGTCGTGCTGGGGTGTGGTCGTGCTGGGGTGTGGTCGTTCTGGGGTGTGGTCGTGCTGGGGTGTGGTCGTGCTGGGGCGTGGTCGTGCTGGGCGTGGTCGTGCTGGGGTGTGGTCATGCTGGGGGTGTGGTCGTGCTGAGGTGTCCCGCACCCTGTGATTTATCGATCGGGATTTCAAAAACAAGCGTTTCGCTCGAGACATCCTCAAATTTTAATTCGCCGGCCTCCTTCGACCTCGATATTTATCAGGGAAAAAATTCGCCGGCCTCCTTCAAGTTGGCACCGGGGGACAGGTTTACCTACTAATAGAGAACCCTGGGCCCACGCCCTTT